AGGTTGGGTCATATCAACATGGTTTGATTCAGTCCATTACAATAGAATAGCATATCAATGGGAGCAAGGTCTTTATTTGCAAAGTGGCCTATAGTGATGTAAGCTGCAGAGACACCAACGCAACAAAGAAGCAACACAGCAGCATAGACTGGTGCTCTTTTATGGCTGGTATCTGATTCAGAGTAAAGGAGGAGTTCCAGAGAAAATACCTTTTGTTAAAAAGCATCCTGGATATATTGATGATCTTCATGATCCTCGTGATCTTGCCGATGATGATTTGCTTGATTGTTCATTCCATTCACCTGTCTAGCTCTGCCCAGTTTCTCAGCACTGTTCATCTCTGTCACTTGCTCCAGTCTCTATTTAACCTACCTACTCACAGTCATCAGTGCAAGATTATTCGAGCCTTTGGTGAGAGTTCTCTAGCGTACCTGATTGTGTTTTGATCGCCTGATCCTGACTCGTTCTGCCTTGGGACCTCTGAGCCTAGCTGTTCCTGTTCTGATCTGTTTTCCTGACCTGTCTTCAAACTCCTACTGGATTCTGCCTGTTGACCGAATGTGGATGTACTTCCTGACACCGAGCTATATTTCCCCTTAGTACCTCTTCTGATCTGTGATCCTCTGGCTCGAACTCTTGTAAACCTCTTTGACATCGACTTTGGCTTTGCCTTTTGCATAGTCCTGGCTTGATTCGTTTGCTTGGAACAGTTCAGCATCAAGTTCTGCAGTCTTCAAGGTTTCAGTGTCTGGAACTCTCTGTGAAGCGTTCACCACATAGTGTTGGCAGCTGAAATCCACCTCCTTCTCTGGGCACGCACTGAACTTTAAGACCAGGTTGACCCACCTTGATGTCACAAACTAGTGGGTGGCAGTATTGTTCTTTGACGAACATGAATGTCTCCAGTAAAGCATATTCAAACATTACTCCTAATTAAAAATACTTATAATTTAGTGAAGAGTATGTAATCATTTTATATTTAAAGTACTTCAGAAGTTTAAATTGTGAACATGACTGGACTTTTCCTTTAATAAATGCCTATTTAAGAAATCTAACTGTCTGTCTGCCTTGATTACTGGGTCCTCTGTTTTGAGCCTTGACATACAGTATGTACAGAGAGAGGTAAGCAATGTGGTATCACATGGAAGCTAGAGCATGCCTTAAGTTAAGCTAATGCTACCTCATTAGGGAAAGAGGACTGAGGGAAAGAGATTGGTCATATAAAGGTTGTGTAGGATGCAGAAAGTGTGTAAACTAAACCAACTTTCCTTTAGGTGTCAATTTCAGTGTTACTAGACTCAGGCAGCACAGGTACAACACTGGACAGGAAACAGTAAGTTTACAGCAGGTTTGTAACACTCCTTAGATCACCCCATCATGACATCCCAGACTTGGAACAGAATATTAAAGGCAGACTGTCCACAATGATACACCTCACCTCCATAGGTAATCAGCCTACTTTATCATTTAAAATTAAGGCAAAATTCACATAGACTAACCACACAAAATCAGATGTTTATTGCAAAAGTAAGCACTTCTTTAGAGAGGATGTTTTCAAAGTTAAAAAAGATAATGAGGCCATTTCTGTCAGGACTCCTGTTTTGTGTCTGTGTTTGTCTACCTTCATCCACCAGGAGGCGCCTGGTACTGGTCCGCCTCCTCACACACCTGCGGATGGTTTCCTCGTTAAACGGAGTGTTCTTAAGCTGCTGACTGCCACTACAGTACTTCGACACCAGAATGTTTGCCAGTTTATGGTACTCTAGCCAAGCTGAGTTTGCTGAGCCAAGCTGAGTTTTTGTCAACCTAAATTTTAACTTTGTTTTGTCTTTGGCTCTTGGCAGGAAGTTGTCCTGCTAACTGGATCTCTCGGACCTTTACATCCTGTAAGGATAAACTGAGCTTCAAACTGAGCTGGGAGGTTTGGATCCACTTTTCCCAAGAGATCTTTTGACCTTTCCACTGAGAAAGGGATTATTCTCCACTAGGACCTGTTCAAGTACCGCAGGAAATCTCAGTTTTCTCCGTTCTGCAACAATCAACCGCATTCTGGGTAAAACCTGTTCTGCCCTCCACCAAATCAGACCACACTGGAACCACGGCACACAGACAGGAGTCAAGACCCCACTGAGCCTGAACTAACCACTGTGTCTTCCCCTCACTTTGCAGTTCCGGTTGAGCTGTGTTCAGAGCAACACTTCTCCCCTTATTTTACTTCTTCAATAAAATCCATTAAACCTTTCCCCTGGTCTCTCTGTTCGGTTTTCTGCATTTTTGGGTCAGAACTTTGTAACATCATGACAATTATATTACAAATACAAATATACACCCTGTTTTTTGTTTTATTCCTATATTAATAACTGGTTTAAAAATAATTTATTTAATCATTATCCTTCTCCGTTTTTTTTTAATGTATTTTTTATACTTTATTTGTCAACTGTCACTGAAATCTATGATCTTTATCATTATTATTCTGAGTTGCTAAGAAGGTTTGAGTCCATTGCGATAATGGATTTGATTCAGAGGGACATGATAAAGTGTTAGGAGTGAAAAGGAGGAGACGGGTGAATAGAGACTGAATCCTGAGGAGGGAATGATAGAGCTGGAGATGAAGCAGGAAAGTGGAGGATGAATTTTAAAAAGGCAGCATATTGCCCAAAAATGACAGGAATTATAAACAGTAGTCTACAGGGAGAAGATCAGGGTGCCTCTTCTTGCTTAAATGACCACTGATTTTGTTGAGCAGTGTTTCAGTCAGGTTCTCCACATAGTCACTTGGATCTGGTGGGGCTAGGCGCACTATGGCTGAAACTGACCTCACTGCAGCCTATAGTGGAGAAACTACTCTTTTGCTCTACCAATTTTAAAAATCCAGCTTGGTTTCTTTGAAACAATTTTGAAGGATTATTTCACCATTCTGATAAGTTGTTGTTGTGAATGTTTAATTGCAAGCTGTTTCCAACTGGCTGTTTTACTGATAATAAGGTTTGAAAAGAAGTTACTAGCCTTTTTGTTTGGCTCCTGCGTAGTTTAAAGTGGCATTGATCTGTCAGTGAGTAATGTGCTTTTATGAATATTTGGATAATAAGCAAGGAAACAAAAATAATAATAATAACAACAGTAATAATACATTAATAATCATCATATAATTATTCATAACAAGGACTATTGTATTTGACATTAATAATAATAGCAATAACAATAAATAATATATTTAATGCAAGTACCCTATATCATACTTGATGGGTCAGCTAATGTCTCAAAGGTTGAAAACCACTGACTCAAGAATAGGGTAAGTAGTGTCTGGGAAAACATGAACTCCACATTACGTTATTAAACCTAAATAAATTCTAATTGATTTAGATAAAGACATTGGTCTGCTTTCCTCAAAGGTGACTGGTTGAAAGGACAGGTTCTTGCCTTTCCTCACTCCCTTGCCAATGCAGTGTTTTCTGTTTTGTGTCCATGGTTGGCATAAAAAGACAAAGATCAGGAACAGCTTAGCACTGGATGTTATCTTATCATTAATGATGACTGTCAAAATTGATGGACTTAAGCTCAAAAAGCAGCTCCCTACATCTGTGAATAATAAAGCAAAATCAGCTTATAAACATAAAAAAGATACATACACACCAAAAATGAGAAAAACACACCAACCTTAATCGTTAAGGTGTATAATTTGGCAGACATTATTGCTTGTTTTTCTTATGAAAGGATTTTAATAAAGAAATTAAAATTGTCTTTTTTAGTCTATTTTTCATTTAAAGCATAATTGTACCCTCAGTGTTCAAATCTTGCTTCAAGCTCAGATCAAAACTTGAGAGCTCTGTTCCAAACCAGTCACTGACTGACAGTCACTGACATCATATCTTCAGTGTGACTTAAATGTTGGAACCAAAAGAAACCAGGTACTGAAAACAGTAACATTCCATTTCACTGTTATTAGTCGAAAAGCTGAAAAGTCAGACAACCTGTAGCATATCCTCTGAGTTGGAATACTTGTGGGTAAGATTAGCATATTCTATATATATAAAGAAGGTAATTGTACCTGCAGTCTGTGATCTGTCTTTCTGCCTCAATAGGAACCAATCGGGAGTGCCTGTTAGAAATGATGGAATTTAACCTGCAGAGAGAGAAAGGTTCTCCTTAGAGACCATCTCACAATAAAAGGTGAAACCAGTAGATTTTAGAACCAGCAAAATTTTAACTAAATACAAAGACAATCTATTATTATTATCCATTATTAAAAGATTATTACAGGGAGTTTGTCCTTCCTCTATATTGTTGGCATGTGCTGCTCCCCAGTGGAGGGTGGTGCACGGGGCCGTGGCCACGAGCAGATAAGTGGCATGTATTGATCACAGTGTGCCTTTTGTCAGGCTGAGTAAACGCTACAGCATCTCTGGATGTCCCAGACAAGCTCCTCTCTTCTCCTTGTTAAAAAAGAGGGCGGTTGGTTTAGGACACAGTTTTAATAATGATCTGTTTATTTTTGTTCCTAGATATACAACAGCACTATGGAGGAATATTTGTCTGGTTAATTTTTTCTTTTTTTTTTTTTTGGTCGGGCAAAGATGAGCATTTAACTTACCAGGAGAAATCAAATCAAGGAGGCAGGTTCTGTAGATGATGAACTGATATTCAGAACCTGCTGGCTGCAGGTCTTAGGACAGAGTTTTCCTTTTGTAGGATATTTCAGACTTGAATGAGTTTATTTCTATTTGGGTAGGTAGAGATGTTTTATGTTTATGTCTTATGTCATATAAATAATGAATTACTTATTCTTAGTTTTTGAGGGGGTAGACTTATATCTTTTGTTTTATTTTTCTTTTTTCTTTTGGGTTGTTCTATATGAGTATATGTATCTAATTAATTTGAGTGTTTATTGTAAATGAAACATTGGACCAATAAGAGGGTTCATGGTATATTGTTCAAAACCAGAACAGGAGCGGTTTTCATCAATGTTAAAATAGTGCATTAGAAATATTTATATTAATAAGACTCAGAGCACATTAATTTTATAAACCCCCAGCTGGTATTTGTTAACAGATGGAATCAGAGGACAGAAAAAAAAATCTAATTAATCACAGATATAAAAGGCCAAACCATGAAGGATAGATCCAAACTATCCAGATCAAATACTAGAACATATGGATACATTACGGTATAGAACACATGACACCTACTGCAACAAGGGGGTTCATGGTTTCAAACCATTTCTGTGTCTGTCTCGGTTGTTGTGTCTTTAGGCAAAAAAATGCCGCTGCATTGCCTACTGATGGTCAGAGGGACATCAGTAGGCAGTAGGGAAGTGCTTTGTAGATTCAGTTCAGGAAGAACGAGGAGAGGATGAGCTCCTGTAGGAAAAGCTGCAGAATGTAGGGGAAATTGTGACATATAGTTCAAACTGTGTTGGTCTTTTCCTTCAGCTAAATCCATGACTCAGATAAAGATCAGTGAAGAACAAACAAACTGATGTCAAGATTATGTTTCCAATGATTGGGTCAGACAACTAATTGGATCAGACCACTAAAGAAAGCCTAGGTGGTTTACAGCAACAACCCCACATCTCTCAGTCAGTCGATCATGGACGTTACCATGAGTTTGTGGTGGAAAGGCTATTAATTCTTTTCACTTTCATTGTTTTAAAGCTTACAATGCAGTAAAAAACATCTGTCAAAACTATCCTACTTATTTGGATTCAATGACCCAGTTTAAGATATGAAGGTTCAGAGGCATCACTTTGGTTTTGGACAAATCCAGTTTCATTCTCTGAGGTTGTATTAGACACATGACACGATGACATGATGTTCCCCTGCAGGCGGTCATGTGTTCCAGCCAAGTTTGCACTGAAGAGGAAATAACTTGTGTTTAATGATATATTTAGAATTTCTGGTCCTGAGCCAATTTCCTTGGGTTAGTGGAGAAAACAGCTGAGTCAGCAGGCAGATGGATGCTGAAATAATCATTATAGACACTGATCCAGACCCATAATCCTGCTTTTGTGATATCTGGGTCAAACCTCTGCCCCCATCCATAGCCACTTGGACCAGAACAGAGCCGCGCCAAACAAAACAGCTGGAGGTGCATTGAGGAGCATCCATGTCTCCTCCACCACTCATCTGCTCAGCTTGAAGAACTGCCAACGAGGAGTTCGGCTCTGCTCCTCCATTCTTCTGCTAAGGTAGTTCCAGATCAGCAGGAGCAGTATACAGAATACCAGCACATCCTCCAAAAGCCATAGCCCCTTTTCCACCAAAAGCCTCGGGCTTTAAAGCCTCAGGCTTTGTATTACCGGGATAATAGGAATCCAGACTAATTAAACATGTTCCTCTTTAATTACTTTGAAAGGCCCTGGGACAATCATGCAAATCAACATAGCAATGTGGTTAGCAAAAAAAAAACCTCAATGTGGTTAGCAAAAAAAACTTCCTGATGGGTTGTAGACCTTCTACGGCCCTGCCCAGTTCTCCTGGAGTAACTACCTGTCTCATGGAATCTCCTCCATGCTGTTTAGATTGTGCTGGGAGACACAGCAACCTTCTGGCAATGGCACGTGTTGATGTTCCATCCTGGAGGAGTTGGATTGCCTGTGCAACTTCTGTAGGGTCCAAGTAGCGCCTCATGCTAACAGTAGTGAAAAGATGAGGAGGGGAAAAATGTCAGTGGCCTCCACCTGTAAAACCATTCCTGTTTTGATGATCGTCTCATTGTTGCCCCACTAGTGAACCTGTTGTTAATTTCCAAAGCAGCTGAAAATGATTAACAACCCCCTCTGCTACATACCTGACCAAATCAATATCCCGCAAGTTTAATCAACTTGATGCTGTACTCTGATTACAAAGTGTTCCTTTATTTTTTTTGAGTAGTGTACATACAGTCAGTGTGATGAATGGGTGAATAAATGATGTATGGATAAGAAATTCAGCTGACGATGATATAACATACGAGAACAGGATAAAGATAAATATCGGAGGTAGAGCCTGAATAGTGAAGCATGGAAGTAGATGGATGGATGGATAGACCAGTAGATAAAGCTAGGGAGCAAATAGATGAATGGAAGGATGGACGATAGACAGATGTATAGAATCTGAATGGAGAGTGATGGATTAATGGGTAATTGCCTCTATAGACAGACAGACACTCTGATTAATGGTCAGATGGAGGAGGAATTAAAAGGCTGGAGACACACAGATGATGAATGAAACGAGAAATGGCCTAATGCCTTGAAGAGCTTTAGGAATGAATCAACGGGTGGGTGTGATTGATGAGTAAACAAATACCTTTTGGTTCATTCTATATGTTTAGAAAGTCTGTCATGTGGAATAGCATCCTCCTATTGGAGAAATCAGCTCATTCTAATTAATAACCATCTTCAATCAACTTGATTAGGTCACTACTGCTCCATGTTCTCCGGTGAACTGATTAACACAGCAGCAAAGGCATCTGGGACAACATCATATGTGGTGTTTGCTGGCTGATTAAAGCCAATCAAGCAGACAGTAAACACATGTACAAAATTTACATTTTTATTTTTACTGAGTAAACTTGTTTCCTCCAATAGGATGCTGAGTTTAAGTAATCCAAAATGGACTCCTAGATGCAGGTTGCTCAGCAGGATATCTGGTTCAATCAAAGCCAGAGCTTTGGAATGGTTGAGATACTAGCTGTTTTCATTCCTGTCACAGGTGGCTTAAGTCTCTTCCACCAAATAGTGCTGCCTTGAGCACAACTTAGAGCTACCCTGGCATTTCATAAATGACCAATGAAGCCAAAATGCCAGGACCACCCTCAACATGACCAGGAAAGAGCATTGGATGTATGCAGGGTGTCAGAGACTTCTCAAATCTCACAACTCAAAACAACCAGTGGATGGATGGATGGATGTGTCATTGTCACAATTTGGCCATTAAAAATATGAATTTCTCTTGCTAACACATCGTAGTTTGTCTTCTTGTTCAGGATTGTTCAGGAACATCTAATTTTATTAATTTTGTTGTAGATTCTCATTCCTCAGAATAACATCAAAATGTCATGATGAATTCCATTCTAGACGATTCTTATAATTCCCACTGGCCTTGAGGTGGTGCTTCCATCTTCCTTCAGAAATAAACTTTGAGTTTATCTCTGATGGATGATGTAGCAAAAGGCAGCAGTGTGAATAGCTGACATAATTTGGGACGAAATATGAAGAGGACATGAAACATAGTCAGAGTGAGGCTGGCCTAAGAAGAAGTGATAAACAGTTGGAGACCTTTTTTTTGGCAGCTTCTGAAGGCTGGCAGATGGTTGGAGCTACAGCTCTCTCCCCCGTTGCTCCTTCATCTCCTGCTCCTCCTCATTTCCATCCCTATCTCTCCAGCTCCACCTCTTTGGGCTTTCTGCCAGCATAAAGCCGAGCAGAACATCTACCTTCTGGGTTTGGACCTCCATTGCCTCCTGCAGCTCAACTCTTGCTGTGAATTTGGGTATAACACTGAAACTTTGCTGGTATTTTCCCATTTCTCCATTTGTTCTGTACATAGGCTGGAGGCCAATGCTGCCTTTTAAACAGTGGAAATGCCTCAGAGCTCTGGCAGTCGCCAGCAGTTCCTAATATCCACAAGTTTCGGTTTCAAATAGAATTGGCCTCCTTTGATTGCTGGCAGATTAGGGAGCAGGCGCAGACCTCCATGCTTTATCATCACTGCTGGACTCAATAGTGAGAGAAGTTCAGCTTATGCAGTTGGTGATGTGCAGCTGCTTCAATAACACGGTTTTACCAAAACCAGACTAATTTGGTGTTTAAAAGAGGAGTAATATCTGTTGCTTTCTTAATCCATAACTCATTAAGTGCCCTGTTTTCTTGCAGCAATGAATTTTTGGTCTAGAAATACTAGGAGGGATGTATACAACTGCGAAAAGAAGAGCTGTATATTTTTTGTGATTTTATCAAATTAAAGAAAAAAGAAGTGATCTTAAAGCGGAAAAAATTCTGAAAGTAAAATAAATATATTGGAGACAAAAAAAATCACATGGTATCGTAAAAACTAATGTAATTTGAGACTGAAAAAAAGATTTTCAGAGAAAGGATTTTGTTTTGTTTAAGTAAAACATAAATTAACATTTGAAAAATTATTTCCA